CTTGTCCGCGCGATCTCAGAAAACAGCGCTGCCCTAAAGGTCTCCTGGGGTGGCCCGATAGGCCCCCCCCCAAGACGGAGTCATGAGAGGACTGAGATGCCTCCAAAGTGTTCAACCAGGCCCAGGCGGTTTCACGACGCCTCCCAGACAGCCTCAAACGCCTCAAGAGGGCTCCAAGAGCCGCCGAAAGGCACTCAATAAGTCACAATTGCTGAATAAGCTTATGATTTTTGTGTATGATTTGGACGAACTTGCCTTTTCGGGCTTCATGGTGGGCAACACGACCCAAGAGTGTCCCCAAGATCGCCCGGCGACTGCCCCGAACGCCCCCGATAAGGATCCACATGGGCCCAAGAGGGCTCAAGCGAGACCTGAGGCGGCCCAGATGAACCCAACAGGGCTCCAGGAAAGCCCCACAGGCTCCCAGGGACAACTCCAAGAGGCCCCAAGGAACCCCAAAGACGGCGGAGGAGTGGACGAAACGCTTGCACGGCCGTGTCGTCCAACGCCTGCAAAGTACGGTGTGTCGTGCGTATCTGTTCGGCAAGAGCCCGAGGACTAAGCTCTGGGCGCTTGAGATACATCCTCTGGCCATCGCCAGAGCAACGCTCCAGAGTTCCCCCTTGCTCGAACCCTCCTCCTCGTGACTTTCTCGGGTGTCAGACGTCTACTCTGGATGATGATGCCGCTGGACTTCTCCCCAACACGCCCCAGCATCTCTTGCCAGGGGCGTTCCAGAGAGGGGCGTCCGAGGGGGGGGGGTCGCTAATCATTGCCCGAGGCACGTGCGCGGCCCCGGGGGGTACCTGAAGTCCAGGAAGATATCATGGCCCTGGCCATTATCTCCCTCCCCCTAAAGGGCTGCTTTATGGCCCTTGTCATCATCCCCCATTTGGGTCGCGCCCGATTGCAACCCGCCCGATCTTCGGCGCCGAATGGCTTCCGGGCAAATGGGCTCGGCTTTTCGGCGGCCATTCGGTGTGCTCCGGGCAGCCCTGGCGCAGCAGCTGGAGAGCACCCCGAGGCTGGAAGACACCCCAAACCCAACAACAGCAACAACAACAATAACAACAGAGGCATACGCACTCAACTTTCGGAGCTCCGCGCGGATTTCCTGGTTCGGCGCTGGACCCATCTCCTTGGCGCGTGGAGCGCGCCAGGGGTGGCGCCGGAGGCGCCGCCGGGGGCCCAACGCGGATCCAAGAATTCCGCGCAGACCTCCGATAAATGATGTGTATGCTCGACCAGGAGAGTAAGGATGCGCGGAAAGGATGTACGGGCCTTGGAACGTCATGTTGACGTTTTCCGTGCGGAGCGCTGCAGAATGCCGAAGGATGCCGAGTACCGAAGGGGCAAGGATGCAACGGCCGCCTTGGAAAGTTTCCCCATCCTTACTGTCACGGTTGACTGTAAATGATGTGTATGCTCTTTTTCTTCTTCCTCGGAGGCAATCATGATGCCGAGAGGAATCCAAGTCACAGCCGACTGCACCCGAATGTGGTTTTGCAGATCGCGTCAAGCACGCAGTCCCTGCTGCAGCCTGGGCTTTATCGCCAGAGCTTGCAGAGAGGCACAGATGCCGGAGACGGGTGAGACAAAACGCCAGTGCGGTCACTGGAGGCCTCTCAAATAGGGTCCGAGCAAATAATGTCAGAGGATCGCGCCGCATGGCCGATGCATCGCCGATACATCGGCGATGCATCGGCGACGTCGGAGACTCATCTTGGCGGCGCGCAGATGGGGTAGAGGAAGGATGGGAGACTTCTTAGAAGGAAGCTGCCTCTTAGACGGTGCGGGCCTTGCATCTATAGACAAGGCACGCACCTTCTCAGAAGCAGCCGAACGTCGGCGCCGTCGACGTGGAGAAGGTCGGGCTGCGCATCGGGCCGCATCGCCGATGCACCGGCGACGCGGCGCGACGCTCCGAACCCATGTCTGCTCCGACCCCGCTTGGGAGACCTGGAGTCACGCGGCAAAACCCATTGAGGATGCACCCGACGCTAGTGGGGAAACCGAGAAAGGTAACCGATACTTCTACTCCAGATTTCTTCATGAAAGAGAGCGGGTCACAACCCTCCCAAACGAGCAAATTTAGACCCCTCCCAGACTAGCCACGAAATGGCGGCCTTTTACCCATACCCCCCTGGAACCCTCCAAGACAGCTCCAATCAAACACCCCCAAATCAGACGACCCCTTTTTTTAATTGTTGAATCTGAAATACTCTCTGGACCTCTCCCGGGGTACGTTCTAACGAGAATCTCGAGGCGACTCGAGCTGTGGTCGCGAGGGCTGTACAGGCCGAAAAACGAAAACGAGGCCCCCTGAGTCGGGGAGACGTACGCCTCGGGTACGGGGGATTCGGGGTGGCCTGACGGGACCATCATAACAATGACGAGACCCAATAGGAAATTCACGCTTCGCGTATCCCCATCAGCCCATTCAGAAGCCCTGCCCACGATAGCTGACGGATAAAGGGACGAAGGGACACATCTAGGGAAACAAAGCGAGCAACCAGGATGAACCGAGAGATCTCTGGGAGCAATGGGGTGACCTTGGCCTATTCGGGCCATCCCTGGGGGCCGCGTGGGGGCGATGGGAAGAGGAGGAGGAAGAGGAGGAGGTGGAGGGATCCAAAGAGTGTGATCCCTGGTGCTGCTGCTGGTGGTGCTGCTGATGTTGGTTCTGCCTCTGCTGGTGCTGCGGCTGGTGCCCTGGAAGGCCTTTTGGGGCCATCTAGGAGAGCCTCGCCGAGGCCGTTTTGGACGCTTTGACACCTCGCGGGCCCCCAAAAAAAACCCAGGGGAGGGGTAAGGGGAGGGGTCAAGACGCCCTCCCCGCCTGCAAGCCGTCTCGCTCACTCCCACCCGCCCTCCCAACACATAGATAGTACCCGAGTCTGGCCCGAGCCTCAGCATATTCAGCAGTCGTCTTTGGATGGGCAGCTACTGGGGGCCAATCCGCCGCCGCCGCAGCCGCCGCCGCCTCCGCCGCCGCCGCCGCCGCCGCCGCTGCCCGCCGCCGCCACTGCCCGCCGCCGCCGCGCCGCCGCCGCCGCCGCCGTCGCCGCCGCCGCGCCGCGCCGCCGCCGCCGCCCCCGCTGCCAAATCGCCTCCGCCGCAGCTGCTGCCGCCGCAGCCGCTGTCGCCACCGCCACCGCGGCCACCGTCGCCATCGCCGCCGCCGCCACCACCGCCGCCGCCACCGCAGCCGCCGCCGCCGCGACCGCCGCCGCCGCCGCCACCACCGCCGCCGCCGCCACCGCCGCCGCCGCCGTCGCAGCCGCCGCAGCCGCCGCCGCTGCCGACAAGTGTTTTTTTACAGGGATGGTGGGGGGGAGGCCGCATCGGGTTGGCTGCGCATGCTCCGAATTTTGGAGGCAGAGTGTGTGTGTGTGTGTTTGCATGGCTTTTTTACAAGGGATGGTGGGGGGGGGCCGCATTGTCCCTGGTTGGCTCCCAGTTGCCTGGGGGAGGGGGTGTTTATTAATGGGGAACAGTGATAAATCTCGTAGGGGAAGAGGTTTTTTTTGGGGGGAGAGGGAAGAGGAATCTCGTTAGACCACCTGCGCCCAAAGGGCTGGTGGGATTTGACGCGATCTCCCGCTGCAAACATCCCACGACATTTGAACCGTCAAAATCCAGGACGCGCTCGTCAAAAACACGTCGGCTCACCCGAGTTCTGGCGTCCTGTACTTCCCCGACTGAGGTCCGACGCAACGGAACCACTGAGACACTGCGAAAAATCACGGCCAGAACCCTGGAGCCCTCCCTGCGCCACCTTTCGGGGCGGATCGAGGTGTGCGTGGGGGCCCCAAGGCCCGAGAGGCCAGGAAAAACATGCGTCCGGCCAGAAACATCGAGGCGCCAGGACCTCAGGGCGAGGGCAGCGTCAGGTCGGGCACGTCCTCCTACAGGCGGATTTTGAAGGACAAAATTGAAGGGGCCCCAGGACACACAAATAAACACACACAAATAAAACGATTCCCCATCTTTTCCCATATTTTTTGAGTTGTTGTCTTCCCCCCCACTTCCCATATTTTCCCATATTTTCTCGGGAATCGACGACTAATTGTGTCTGTGTGTTTCTTTCCCTCCTGAAAAGTGCAAAAATGGCTAGGCCGGGGGATTCAGGGTGCATTCGTACAGTCGTGCAGTGCCTCTCTGGCGGGCCAGCTCGGACCTTCTGTAGTCAGAACATATTCAACAAGAGTCATAAAACAATCAAACATCGTCCGCGCGGGGTGGGTCTATCAGACCCCTGTCGGCGATCATCGAAGAAGACCGAAAACCACCAACATCAACTTCTGGCGCTCCGCGCGGATTTCTCGGATCTGCACCGGATCCCCTCCCCGGCGCGCGGAGCGCGCCAGGGGCGCCGCTGGAGGGGTCCCAGCGCAGATCCCAAAAACCCGCGCGGAGCGCCAAAACTTGATGTTGATGGCGGGTTTTCTTCTTCGAGATCAAACGGCGCGATCGGGGGTCGATACGTTCCCCCCTGAAACCCTCCCTCGGGGATCTGCTAACCCGGGTCAATCAGACCCGGGTCAGCAGGACATTACAAAAACTGCAATGCAAGAAAACGAAGCTGCAACGAAGGGATTCGCAACCCCGGGTCAGCCAGTAGGCGCGGCCGCCTCGCGGCCACGAGCGGCTCGCTAACCCGGGTCAGCCAAAGGGGCACTCCGCAGGATCCTGCACGCTCCGTTGCCCTGGCTGACCCCCATCTGGAGCTTTTTTTTTTTTTTGGATTCAGGCAAGTTTACTTGCATGGCGTTCGCCCCCCCCCCCCCCCCTTCGCCCCTCTTCAAGCGAATACTAGCGTGCAAGTGCCTTTCGACTTGCGTGATTTCCGCGCCCCTCCGAACGTGCAAGTCGTTTGCGGCTTGCTTCAGGCTCAGCCCCCCCCCCCCGTCCATGCAAGTAAACTTGCCAGAGTCTAAAAAAAAACAGGCCCCCATCTGCATTCATACCCCCGGTCTCTGAGGCTCCGGCTCCCTCCCCTACCGCTGCCCCCGGGCCCCCAGCAGGGCGGCCCCGCCCTGGCTGGGGCGCCGCCGGGCGCGCGCCGGCGGCCCTGCGGAGGCCGGGCTGCCGGGGGCGGCGCCGCCCCGGGGCGAGTCGCCGTCCTGGGGGAGCCCGACGCTTGAGTCTGAAGTCGGGCCTGCCCCTCTACAGGGGGATTTGGGACGAACCATAAAAAAAGTACCCCCAAAAAATTCAAGATGTTCAAACGTAGAAAACAGATTGGCCCCAGGCTATTTTTGGCCAATTTTGGAGCATTCCTCCTGTGTACGGCAGGTTCGTGTCGTGCCGACCCCAGCGTTGGTTTTTGACACCGCAGGGATCGTTCAACCTTGAACGATCGGCCGTTTCCGCAACGTCCAATCGTTCAACATCGATCGATTCTGGGCCGCCGCCGGCGTTCAAAATTGAACGCCGCTGGCGGGGTCGCCGCCTGTCGACACGACACGAACCTACCGTAGAGGGGCACGCCCGACTCAAAGCTTGAAATCTGGGCGTCCCACGCGTGCGCGGGTCCTGCCAGCCCGGAGGGATCCTGGCGCCTCAACTTTCTCGAGCTGGGCGTCCTCGCCCCACTTCGCGCCCCGGGGACCAGGGGCCACGCAGATCAGTGCGGCTCGACCTCCCAAACTAAAGCCTTTTAGGGTTTAGGGCCGTTGGCCCCTAAATTCCCAAATGGCTCCAAGCGCTCACACGCGCTCCCTGGCGCTCCCAGGCGCTCCCATGCGCTCGCAAGCGCCCCCAGGCGCTTCCAGGCGCCCCCAAGCGCTCCCAGGTGCTCGCAGGCGGAGTATGACGCAGAGAAAAAAAAGATATCTCGGGCTCCAGTCGTGATTGTTGACGATGTTTTTTCACTGCGTTGGATCGCATCGATGAGAGCTGAGCGTCCCCAGGCATGATCGCGTCTTGACAAAATCAGGGCAAGGTATTTTCGTAAACTTCGGGCTCTGGGGGCCCTCGCTGGGCCCGCTGACCGTCAACAAATGATTCAAGATGAACGACCGGTCCCGGGAAAAGGTTCGGGACTTCCGGGGACCCTGTAATGAAACACTGGGTTGCATGTTTTAACAACGGCTTTTTCACAACGGGCGTTATCGCCAGGTTTATCGGGCTCCGGGGCCCTCCTACATCGACCTCGCCCGAGAAATGCCGAAAGATGGCGCCGATAGGGTCCCAGCCGGTTTTTTCTCGCGATGCTGCGATTTCCCCGCGATGTGCGGATGCAGTGCGGGCGCGGCCGCAAAAAACCCTCGCAAGAAACCCGAACCTGAAAAACTGCGCGCAAGGCGCACCTGAAGGGACACCCGGAGCACCCTGAACGCAGATCAACGGCTGCGGGAAGTCACCGTGAAGCGCGCGAAACGAAGAAACTAAAGGCACCCTGACTAAGATCATGTGGTTTCTTGATGCGGGCCCCCTTTCGTAATGGGCTCCGGAAACGGCTGGGCCGCTTTTTTTCATCGTTTCCGACAACGTGTCTCTTGAAAACCAAAAACAGCCAAACATCGGCTCCAGAATTGGAGCGGGAACCGGAAACGGTAAAAAACGGCGACGGAACCTGTAATATCTAGAAGCGGTTGAAGAAATCAGTATTGGTGGACAATTTTAAACAAATCATTCTCAGTGCTGTAGTGCGCAGGTAGAAAACGAAAGGACAGCGGGGCAAACTGGACTGGCAGGGACGTCCCCGCGACCGTCCTGGCGCTCCGCGTGCAGGGGCGGAATCTTGCGCACCTCCTCTCGGCGTCGGGCCACGCTGGCCACGCCCTGCGAACTTGGGATTCTGGGAGCCTGGACGCTAACATAAGGCCATTCAACCTCACAAAAACAACGGGCGACACGAGTCACCCCCGAAACTGGGAGCCAACCGAACGCCATTCAACCTTACAAAATCAACGGGTGACACGTGTCACCCCCGAAAACGTTTGAGAAAAAACACTTGCAAATACTGGATCCCAGGAGCCAACATAAGGCCATTCAACTTCATGCCAAAAGAACGGGTGACACACGTCACCCCCGGATTCAAGTGAGAAAAGGCAACTGTACATTTGGGATTCCAAGAGCCAACGTAAGGCCATACAGCAGCGACAAAAACAACGCGCGACACGTGCCACCCACGAAACAGCGTGATAAAAACAAACAGTTGTAAACTAGGGGTTCTGGGAGCCAACATAAGGCCAACCAGCCACACAAAAAACAACCAGTGACACGTGCATCCCCCAAACCCGTCTGAGGAAAACATTTCTAAATTTGGAACTCTGGGAGCCAACGCAACGCCATTCAACCTCACAGAGACAACGGGTGCCGGGTTGACACTTGTCACCCTCGAACTCGTAAGAGAACAATCAATTGTAAATTTGGATTCTGGAGGCCAACACAAGGCCATTAATCTCACAAGAATCAACGGGTGACACGTGTCTCCCCCGAAACTGTGTGATAAAAACCAACTATAAATTTGGGATTTGGGGAGCCAGAATCATGTCATTCACATTCGCATTAAACAACGGGTGACACGTGTTACCTCCGAAGCATTGAGATAAACAAAAAATAAGATGTGGGGTTCTGGGAGCCAACAAAACGCCATCCAATCTCACAACAACAACGACGATCGACATGTGTCACCCCCGAAACCTTCTGAGAAAAACTTACTGCAACTTGGGGATTTTTGGGAGCCAACATAAGGCCATTCAAACTCACAAAAAACAACGGGTGACACGTGTTACCTCCGAAACCTTTTGAGAAAAACCATTTGTAAATTTGTGATTCTGGGAGCCAACATAAGGCAACTCAACTTCGCAAAAAAAAAGGGTGATACGTGTCACCCCCGAACCCGCGTGAGAGAAACCAATTGTAAATTTGAGATTCTGGGAGCCAACATAAGGCCATTCAACCGAACAAAAACAACCGGGCGACACGGACCACCACCGAAACCGCGTGAGAACAAACACTTGTAAATTTGGCATTCTGGGTGCCAACATAAGGCCATTCTGCCTCACGAAAACAAGCGGTGACACGTGTCTCCCCCGAAACGGTGTGGGAGAACCAAATGTACATTTGGCACTCTGGGAGCCACATGAGGCCATTAAACCACACACAAACGACAATTGACAAGTGTCACCCCCGAAACCGTGTGAGAAAAACCATTTGTAAATTTGTGATTCTGGGAGCCAACATAAGGCCATTCATCTTCACAAGAAACGACGGGTGATACGTGTCAACCCCGAGACCGTCTCAGAGAAGCCATTCGTAAATTTGGGATTCTGGGCGCCAACATAAGGCCATTCAGCCTCACAAAAACAACGGGTGACACGTGTCACACCCGAAACCGCGTGACGCTATCCATTTGTGAATTCGGCATCCTGAAAGCCACTATAAGGCCATTCAACCTCACAAGAAACAACGGGTGACATGTGTCACCCCTGAAATTGTCGGAGAAAAACCACTTGTAAATTTAAGATTCTGGGGGCCAACATGAGGCCAATCAGCCTCACAGCAACAACAGGCGAAGCGCGCTACCACCGACACCCTGTGAGAAAAATCAATTGTAAGGTTGGTATTCTGAGCCTAAGGCCATTCAGCCTCACAAAGGCAACGGGTGACACGTGTCACCCCCGAATCCGTGAGAGAACAACCAATTGTAATTCTGGGATTCTGGAAACCAACATAAGACCATCCAGCCTCACAAAAACAACGGGTGACACGTGTCACCCCCGAAACCATGTGAGGAAACCAATTGTAATTTTGGGATTCTGGGAGCAAGCATCAGGCCATTCAGCTTCACAAGAATCAACAATCGGTGACATGTGTCTCCCCCGAAACCGTGTGGGGAAAACTAATTGTAAAGTTAAGATTCCACGGGCCAACATAAGGCAATTCAGCTGCGCAACATCATCAAGCGTCACGCGCCACCTCCGAAACCGCGTGAGAAACAATGTAAATTTGGGGTTCTGGAAGCCAGCATAAAGCCATTCAGCCTCACCAAAGCAACCGTTGACACGTGTCATCTCTGAAACCGTGTGGCGGAAATAATTTGTAATTTTGGGAGTCTGGGAGCCTGGACGCCAACATAAGGCCAAACCTCTCAAACAAAAACGGTTCGTAAATTTGCGATTCCGGGAACCAACATAAAGCCATTAAACCCTACAAACAGCAACGGGTGACACGAGTCACCCCCGAAACCGTGTGAGAAAAACGGCTTGTAAATTTGGGATTCTGGGATCCTACATAAAGCCATTCAGCAGCACAAAAGCAACGGGTGACACGTGTCACCCCCGAAACCGTGTGAGAAAAACGGCTCGTAATTTTGGGATTCTGGGATCCAATCTAAAGACGTCCGACCTCACAGAAACAACCGGAGATATGTGTCACCCCCGAAACCGTGTATTAACCACGGCTGGTAAATTTGGGATTCCAGAACCAACATAAGGCCATTCAACCTCACCAAAACAACCGGGCGACACGTGTCACCCCCGAAACCGCGTACCAAGAACCGATTGTACATTTGGTATTCTGGGAGCCAACATACGGTCATTCAGCCTCACATCGCGCGCGAACGCTGATGCCACCGCGCGCACGCGCGCACAGTCGCGCGCGTACGTACGTACAGTAGCCCAGTAAGACGAGAACTACCTACTCGTCGACCGAAGTAGCCTGCACATCTGCACGTATGCAGTTCATGCGCACATGCCAATGCATGCGCGTGCGTGCGTGTGAAAACGCATAATGCATAAAAAAACATACGTGCGTGCATTTACCAACTGCATCGTTCCGCCCTCGTGGAACCTTCCCCAGGGGGGACCATCAAGAAACACAATCCTTCGGCGGCGAATTAATGGCAGTCGGGATCTGGGGGTGGGGGAGGGGTAAAACGACGCGAAGATCGGGACAAAATCGGATCGGGATAACTCGAAATCTCTGAGAATCGGCGGGTTTGGAGGATGTATTGGGCGCCGCGGCCGCTCCAGAGCGTTCCGGAACGCTCTGAGAGCGCTCCGGAACGCTCTGGAGCGATTTATCCCGATCCTAGCCCTGTTTTAGGGGAGGGGGGGGGGGGGGTCGTGGTTTGTGAAGACAAGCTTTGGACACTGGGAAAGCGGCGTCGGCACCAGCAACAACAACGGCACAGCGGGACCGGCAGCAACACTGAAGGGGCCCCAAGACACACAAATAAATACACACAAATAAAAAGATTCCCCATATTTTCCCATATTTTGGGTTTTTTCGTCTCCCCCCCCACACTTCCCATATCTTCCCATATTTTCTGGGGAATCGAGGATTAATTGTGTCTGTGTGTTTCTCTTCCTCCTGAAACGCACGAACCCGTCGCTTTTCCAGGGTGCCGCCGCTCCCCGGGCCTCCCCCGGGGTGCCTGCGGCTCTGCCGCAAGAGAAGCTTTCGAGACGACGCCGGCCCCCGCGGCGGCGGGGGCCTCCGAGGAGGCGCGCCCAGACAGGCTCCAGGAGCCAAGGCATCGGCGGCGAGCCCATACAGTCGGAACGTTGACCTAAGGAACCCTAAGTAAGGAACGAGGCCCCTTTTTCCCATCGAAAACCTGAGGAAAACCTAGGGCAAACTGTGAAACAATCAAGGAACACGGAGCCCCTCCCCAACGAAAAGGGTTCCTTCTTCCGCGCCCCGACTGTAGAGGCCTCCTAGATGGGGTCCGAGTGGATGGGGTCGAAGGATTGCGCATCGCCGATGCATCAGCGATGCATCGGCGATGCACCAGCGATGCATCGTCGACGTGGGCGATGCATTGGCGACGTCGACGTGCAGCGAGTCAGGCTCCACCTCGAGCCGCATCGGCGATGCATCGGCGATGCGGCGCCATCCTCCGAACCCATCTACTCCGGCCCCATCTACAGTCAACCCGCATAGTAAGGATGGGCAACCTTCCCAAGGTTACCCTTGCATCCTTGCCTCCTCGGTCCATCCTTGGCCACCTTTGTTGGCCACGCCCCGCTCGCAGAATTTTCGACGTGGCCTTCCGAGGCCCTTGCATCCCTATCGCGCATCCTTACTTGGTAGTCCCCAAACGTGGTGGTGACAACACCTGGCGGTGAGTCTCGGGCGATTTGGTGTCACCACCCGGTTTGGGGACTCGTGCGGTTTTCCGAGGATGTCCCGGACACTGGTGGGTCCAGGAGTCACAAAACCCGGTGGTGACCCCGCGTCCCCAAACCCAGCGGTGACCTTTTGGGGGATTCTAGGTCGCCACCTGGTATCTCACCACCCGGTTTGGGAGTTCCCAACTTACTATTCTGGCTGACTGCAGGAGGCCCAGAGCCCATGGGGACGTGAGACGGGGCAGACCCTCCGAGACGGCGGCGGGCCCCGACGGGGCGCAGACGAGGGCAGGGCAGCCGCAAAACACCGGTGCGGCAGACTCCCGTCGTGCCGACCCTGGCGCTGGTCTCGGGTCGGGCGAAAGGGGGGGATAGCAAAGGGGGGTTCGAGAATCAGCTCACGTAGCTGATTTTCCCGGCGCCTCCCGGCGCCGGGAGCGGCCATGTATCAAGGAATTGGCCCCTCGGTGAGGCCGAAACCAGCTGCATGCAGCAAATTTCGTAACCCCCCCTTTCCCAATCCCCCCCTTTCGCCCGACCCGATGGTCTGTCACACCGCGGGGATCGCTCGGCCTTGAACGATCGGCCGTCTCCCAGGCGTCAGGTCGTTCAGCATCGATCGATTCTGGGTCGCTGGCGGTGTTCAGCGTTGCGCTGGACGCCGGCGGCGGGGTCGCCGCAGGTCGAAACGACGCGAACCTATTGTACCTTCTCCTCCTCCTCCTCCTCCTCCTCCTCCTCCTCCTCCTCCTCCTCCTCTGTCCGACGAGACCGAGACGGCGCAGGCGTCGTCCGCAGCCCTGCAGCTCGCGACGGCCACCAACCTGGCCACGTATCCGCCGCCGTGCCGCTCGTGCACGCCGGGGCGTGTTGGGGAAAGTTCCCCTGCCGTCTGGGCAAGGTTGCGTCTGAACTTCCTTCCCTCGCGACGACGAGGACGACGACTACGACGACGGGGACGACGGAGGAACACGAGGACGACAACGAGAACGACGAGGAGCACGAGGAAAACGAGGACGACGACGACGACGACGACGACGACGACGACGACGACCTCCGCGTTGCGCTGCTGCGCTGGCGCGGTGGCGGCGATTGCCACAGGCCAGCGGCTATGCTCGCGACGGACCTGGCCGTGGCGGCCGCGTGCGCCGGCCACGTCGCCCGCTGACGCTCCGACCTCTCGGGGGCGCGGGGCCGCCGCGGCGGGTGACCTGTGCAAGAGGGCAGAAATCCAACCCCACAGTGACCTCCCCGACACGCGAAGCCGTTTACGAAACGCCCCCACCTCAAGGAATCGAACGGGGCAGGGCTGTTCAGTAAACGCCCAAGAGCCGTTCAGTCAACTGGTTTGTCCTCCCTTGACTGTGGGGGCTCGGGTGTCGGCTGCGCGCAGGGAGTGGCCCGAGGCCCTAGGCAAGACCAGCCCTGCCCGAGATCTGCGCGCTGCAGTCTCTTCACATCGGGCGCCTTCTTTGGATTTTTCGGGCCCCAGGGCCCTCGCATGCCGATCGGGGGCCCGAGAAGTGGCGCAGGACGATGGGGGTTCTGAGGCTCCAGTCGTGATCTGTGACGATGTTTCTTGTGTTGAGACGCTGGGTCTCAGGCCTTGGCCAGAGGGGCCTTTGGTGCGCAGCCTGCGAAAATGGCGACAGTTTCGCAGATCGTAGCCCACCCATGGACGGCGAGGTCTACCTCAGATCCGCGCGATGCCTCACTCCGCTGGACCCACCAGCAGTCCTCGAAAGGTGGCGACAATTTCGCAGATCGCAGCCCCCCAGGGACGGGGAGGTCCCGCTCAGATCTGCGCGGGGCCTCACTGGCGAGAACTACCTCAGATCCGCGCGGTGCCTCACTCCGCTGGACCCACCAGCAGCCCTCGATAGTGGCGACAGTTTCGCAGATCGCCGCCCCCCAGGCAAGGCAGGAGGAGACAAGAAGGGGGGGGGCGGGAGGCGGGAGGCAGGAGGCGGGAGGAGGAGGACGCGACTGCAGTGGACTATTCGAAACGAATGCCCAGCCAAGGAGGGTTGGGAAACATTGGTTCTGAAGGGGGTGATGGCACCGCAGCTTGGGCTCGAGGGCCTTGCGCGGGTGGTGCGGGGCTCGGCCCCTGGATCCTCGCGGCAGGAGGAGGAGGAGGAGGAGGAGGAGGAGGAGGAGGAGGAGGAGGAGGAGGAGGAGTGCTCGCTGGAGGGCAGGGGTCGGGCACGTGAGGGCAGGGATGAGACGAGGACTCGGATCTTCGGCGTGCTGGTCCTCGTGCTGGGCCAGCCTTCGGGGTGGGGGCGCCCGCCGCTGGGCGACCGCTTGCCACTGCGACCGTGCCCTGGCCGCGCCCTTACCTTACCTTGCCTTGCCTCGGCGGCGAGCGAGGGGGGAAGTGAGAAGGAGAAGGCCTTCCCAGAAGGTTCGGAAGCCCCCCCGGCTTCTGAAAGGTTTTCGAAGCCTTCCCCGAAGACAGCCGACAGCTTCTCAGAAGGCGCGAGGGCTTCTGCGAAGTCCCGCCGCCTTCTGAGATGGCCTTCTCCTTCTCATTTCTCCCCTCGCTCGCCGCCGATGACCTACAATCAACCCGTATGATAAGAAGGATGCGCGGTAAGGATGCAAGTGCCGCGGAGGGCCATGTTCATGTTTTTCGAACGAGGTTGGCCAGCGACAGTTACCGAGGATGGGCCGAAGGGACAAGGATGCAAGGGGGTAGCCTTGGAACATCGCTCACCCTTACTATGCGGGTTGACTGTAACTTCCGGGGGCTCCATGCTCCAAAGAGTCTCAACGGTGCGCCTGCGAAGTCCGGTGGCAGCCCGCGGCGTGGCGAAGAAACGCGATCGGAATCACGGTTGTGCACTGGAGAGCTTACCACAGCATTCGCTACGGCATCGCGACGACGACGAAATATGGCGTCAGCGGCCGAGAGACTACACAACATCATTACACGTCGGTCGGAAAAAGTAGGTACACAGATGTAGAAGGCGGGTCAAGTAGATTGGGTTCAGGCCCTCCCAGCGAATTACAAAACACAACAACCGCATATCGGTTCTTGAAGTAGGACGGCGCTTGAACAAATATTAAGATGTGGGAATCCAAACATAGCTACTACCGGCATGTGACGCAGTAGCCGAGCCCAATAGCGAAACAGACAGGGCCGAAACGATGATGCACAGCTCTGTCAGACACCAACAGTTTGGTGATCCTTGCGCCAGCTGGTGCTGTAGGCACTCGCTTGGAAGACATCGTCACGGACCTCAACGAATGTGTAGTATCCGGTATCATGCAATTCTTGGTGCATCGCATCGATAAGAAATTTGAACAACAAAAGAAGGCCAACATGACTGCCATCGGAAAACGGGTTGCGGGCATCGAATTGCTGAACTTCCCTAGCTCATCTGAGAGATAGCAATGAAATCGTCGCCGTCGTTGTTGAACATCATATCACCCAGCATGACGTGGAACAACAAGGATCACAACATGGGAAACCATACCCAACCTTCGTCAAATTCGACTTTGGCACGGCGCCCGACGAAACGATTGAGAACGACGACGACGAGGAAGGCAAGTCCTTGGGCAAGAACGTGTGGTACGACAACGATGATGATGAAAATCGTCATGCAGGAGATCGATCGCACGATTGAATAAAGAATCATACACTGAACACAACATACGGCCGCCCGCCTATACGCTTGTAAGTAACACTTTAGGTACTACACCAACGGCGTGTCTTTACAACGTGTTCGGCAACGGCAAACAAACAGAAGACCGACCACGTCATTTACATCGGCGCGAATGACGAACACGATGCTGCCCAGACCTCTGACGTCGTGACTGCTTTAATCCGTGGGCACCAGGGCTCTTGACTTCTTCCTTGTTCCTACCAGACAGATGGGGCTTATTAGGTTGACAGGAAAGATGTCTTTCCGATCCGCATCGCAATGCCTGCGTACCGCGACCACCTGGCCCTACATTTCCTTGTGGCCCCGCTTCATAGACGAGAAACGACATACTGGAAGTACACAAAAGCCAGACACCAGGGCACGAACAACAATCGTAAACCCACCTGCGCAACATGCGTACGCATCATAGGCACAGCACGACGGTTCACACCACTCGTATAAAGTATACATACGAGACATACAAACAACCTGGATACGCACAACGTCTTCGTACGTAGGTGCATGCACATCGCATGGCCGCATTAAACGTACAACATTGCCAAATCGCGCACAATACAAGCGTACACCTCGTACTATACGGGCACATGCCCGCTTCACCTACACACGCAACTTACATACATACCGCACCTGGTGTCAACAACGAACATGCAACATGACGCACATATCTGACACACGGAACGCCATACACAACGTAACGATACAGCACGGCACGCGCCACTAGGCATTATCATAACGCTACGCACATCAGGCAAACCACGCGTCACAACGTCACACTGGCCCGAAACAAACACCAACCGCATACACCACCGATTTAAAATGACAGGCGCCCTGGCGGACAATATTGAGAACCAACAAGCATGGTAAGACACAGTGGCCTAGTCATTCCGAACTCAAACATGCGCGGCGACCGTCACGCCGTCACGCCTGCCCGAAAATACTCAAGTGAAGTACCGTCTGCTCAACAATCGTCACGTTGAACATGCCATGCCAGACGACACCACGCATGCCAGACAACAGCATTAGCCTGGCGAACTGCCCGACCATATGCAATTGCGAATCGCTCAGTTGTGAATGGCGTCTTTGGCAATGTTTCCGAATTGCCTATGGATGCACGGAACGTGCGAGGGGTGTGAAAAGTAGGCGGGGCGGGCGCATGCGAACACCGCCCCTGGGGCCCTCGGTGGAGCTCCCCATGGGGCCGCGGAACGTGTGATGGGATGTGCCGGCACGGGTGCGCTGAGCGCATGCGAACGCAGCCGCTGGGGCCTTCGATGGCGTTCCCTATGGGGCCACGAAAGGTTTGAAGGGTGTGCCGAAATAGGCGGGACGGGCGCATGCGCTTCTGGCGACCCGTACTTGGCGGAGCTCGTCTCTTCATCCCGAGTAAGTTCTGGTGATCATGTAGGGATGCTTGTGTGAGGAGGAGGGAGGAGGAGGAGGAGGAGGAGGAGGAGGAGGAAGAGGAGGAGGAGGAGGAGGAGGAGGAGGAGGAGGAGGAGGAGGAGGAGGAACGACCGTACCGAATGGATTCGGACCTGCGGCGCGGCAACGCGACCAGCTGCCGATGGCGGCCCTGGCTGCTGCCAGGATCGTGTGCTGACGTGTGGGCGTGTTGGGTGCGCTCCCATCGCGCATCGTGCTGTGCCTCGAGCGTGTGACATTTTGTGGAGCCAATAAATTCATATTAACAATTGTTGGCCAACGAAAGCACGGTTCTAGCGGTGTCGGTGCGTCAATCTAATGCAAGGACCGACCACATCGATGTTCAAAACGCGCTTGCGTTTGGAACGAGAAACAAAACGAATCCCTGACAATTAAAGCAACGATTACGAAACGATGCCGCCATTCTGACAAACCGCACAACGAACAACGAAACGAACACCGCACACCTCGTTGGCAGAGGCAGGGGCCGTCGGCGCCGCCACCGCCGCCTTGTTTCCCTGTTTCGCAATCGAACGGGCCTCTCGTCCCCACGACAGAAGCGGGCCCTGAAGGAAGCGGGCCAAGAACCTTGGAATTCCCGACAGGACCAGCTCGGTCGTTCTTCGGCTGCTTCGGGGACCGCCGAATGCCTGGGGACCCGAGAGCAGGAAGAATCTGCAGGGGCCCCTTTTTTCGCAGGGCGCGCGTCCGCCGCAGCGCCCCGCAGCGACTCCCAAAAAGGCGAGCCAGTCAGGCGCAGAGCGAAGCTCGGCGCGTCCGAAAGAGGCGTGGGAAAAATGAACATGACGTCCACAGGCAAATGTTGTCTGACACCAGCAGTGGCCGCTGCTGGGCATGGGGGCTCGTTGCACTGAACTGCTGACGTGCGCGGCGACACCCACAGGATGCAAAACTGCTGTCGGTGTTCTCCCCCGCACATTCCGTACCCGTTTCGAGCGCAGCGCCCGGCTGGGATGCTCTCCCGTCCTCCCCTCTGCAATCCCCCTCCTCTGTCTCTCCCTCCTCCTCCCTCCTCCTACCTCCTCTCTCTCCCCCCCCCCTCCTCTCCTCCTTCTCCTCCTCT